CGACACTATTGTTTACTAGAGCGTCCGCTAGAAAAATATGAGTTCAGCTGAACTTCTAGCTTAAAATAAATCATATTAGATCTGATCTGTAATCGGAATACTATACTTGAAAGAAGCTCCTACTCAAAGCAGCCGTCAGACTAGATAGGTAGTTTGAATATATTCATATACATTCTGACACTTGAATGAGTACAGACAAGAACACATGCCAACAGAAAAACTCCCGTCTATTTCGTTTATATCTACTTCCGATACAACGAGTATAAATTCTTTGAGTGATGTTTTCCGTCTAATGTACTGTGCAGATATTGTGCCCGTACAGAAAAACTGTTTTCATACTTAACTTAAAAATATTTCTCAGTCTTTTCCCACTTCTGGTCCCTATTGAGACCCATCAGATTTAGATCGTTGGCATTTTTCCGATGAATCCTAACACCTTGACGCCTTTCTTCAGGAAATTTCCCAGTGCAGCAGCTAGTCGCTTGTCGGCGCCCCGAAGGGGCGCCACTCGCGGCTAGCCTCTGCCACGTGTAATCTTATTCTTCCATAAGATCATCCTCTTTGACTTACACCCTATCAAATTTCAGGCTGCTCTCACTTCGAAAAATCGTTACATTTATAACATGAGAATTCTCGATGGGCAGTCTCGAACCGTCACTTTATTATGAAATATTCCTTATTTCTTCGACCTAATTGTCTAGTTGAAAAATCAGAGTTTGATTAGAAATCCTGATTAAGAGAATCTTAGTGCAGTATTCTAAATAAACCTAGCTTTCACGTAGATCTTTTCCGAAGCGAAGCTACGGTGCACTTGCAATATCAGCGAGTAGTCGTTCGTCGGCGCTACTCACGGCTAGGTGCCCCATTATTTGAATACATTAAAACAATAGGTGGTTTTTCTACATTTATCATACAGCTTGTGACCGCATTAACAAATATCTTTTTCATTTTAGCTTCTTCGAGTTATAGTAACTGTATGGAAATTATACGAGTCAGAATCTCTGAAAAATTATGCGCATAATTGAAAAATTAGCCAGAAAAAAATACAATGCGAGTACGTTTTAATTCCGATAATGTCGGATCGACTAAAACTAGGCTTTCCGTTTCAGAGGTATTTGTCGGTGTGCATGCGAATGTTGGCAGGACCCTGAATGCGTTTTGCGTAAATGCAATTCTACGCATTATATATTTCTCTGGCATATATCTACTTTGAGAAACATATCTAGATAGGACAATTTACGATAAAGCTGATCTGATACAATTCATCAGGTAAGGTCAAGAGCACACTATCTAATAAAACCACTTATTGCATATTAGCATCGCAGAAAAAGTGCCAGTTACACATCAACCCTTCCTTATGACATCATCTACTAAGGAAAGAAATAGGAACTCGTTAAATTACTACTAGTCGAATAAAGCTTGACAGACTCAGAGCCGAACAGCGAAAATACTTTATTCGGTGAACTGCCAGCTTGAAAAAGCTTCATATATATCTGATGTTACTCAGATTATCCAACCGGCAATCATGCTAACATATCTGAATACGTTACTCTCTTCATGACTGCCAAATCAGAAACTCATTTTATTTCATTTAATCACCCCCTTGAGTCGAGAGAAAAATGTTCGTTTCTGATTGGTCCATTTTCTCACCAATGAAATCTCAAACCGAAAAACCCACTTCAGATTCGCATTCCGGCATATCGATAACCTACAGTAAAGTTTCATCAAAAGTTACAAAAGCCTTAAAATAGAATAGCTGATTTCTGATTGATCAGCTTTCTAGCCAATGGGAAGGGTGGATACAAAATCTGACCTCAGATTCACAATCCTGACCCTCCATAATCTATGGTAAAGTTTCATCAGAATATACCAAAGGCTTAAAATAAAAAAACTCATTTCTGATTGGTCGACTTCCTAGCCAATCGGAAGGCCGGATGTAAAATTCAATCACAGATTCAGAATCCTGGCCCTCGATAACCTATAGTAAAGTTTCATCAAAAGGGTCAAAAGGCTTAAAATAAAAAAGCTAATCTCTGATTGGTCGGCTTTCTAGCCAATGGGACGGCTGGATGCAAAATCTGACGTCAGATTCAGAATCCTGACCCTCGATAACCTATAGTAAAGTTTCATCAAAATGTACAAAAAGCTTAAAATAAAAAAGCTCAGTTCTCATTGGTCGGCTTTCTAGCCAATGAGAAGGCTACATGTAAAATCCAACCTCAGATTCGGAATCCTGGTCCTCAATTACCTATAGTACAGTTTCATCAAAAGTTATAAAAGCCTTAAAATAAAAAAGCTCATTTCTGATTGATCGGCTTTCCAGCCAATGGGAAGGTCGGATTTAAAATCTGACCTCAGATTCGGAATCCTAGGCCTTGATAACCTGCAGTAAAATTTTATCAGAAGGTCGAAAAGCCTTAAAATAAAAAAGCTCATTTCTGATTGGTGGACTTTCTAGTCAATGGGAAGGCCTGGTGTAAAATCTGACTGCAGATTCGGACACCTGGCCCTGGATAACCTATAGTAAAGTTTCATCGAAAGGTCGAAAAACCTTAACATAAAAAAGCTCGTTTCTGATTGGTCGGCTTCCTAGCCCATGGGAAGGCTGGATGCAAAATCTGACCGCAGATTCAGAATCCTGGCCCTAGAGAACCTATAGTAAAGTTTCATCAAAAGGTCGAAAAACCTTAAGATAAAAAAGATCGTTTCTGATTGGTCGGCTTTCTAGCCAATGGGAAGGTCGGATGTAAAATCTGACCTCAGATTCCGAATCCTAGCCCTCGATAACCTCTAGTAAAGTTCTATCAAAAGGTTCAAAAGACTTAAAATAAAAAAGCTGATTTCTGATTGGTCGGCTTCCCAGCCAATGGAAGGCTGGAGAGAAAATCTGACCTCAAATTCGGATTCCCCCACCTCAAAAACCTTTGGTGAAACTTTAGAAGGTACACCTAAATAAACTTCATTTCTGATGTTTTTTTGACCCTGATGTTCTTTTGACCTTGACACAGACAGACAAACTATTTTATTTCGTATGACCCTCCTTACAGTCGAGGGAATATCTTCTCAGCAGTATAGTGTATATAAACTTCATAAAAAACGCTTAGTTATGCTTTTCATTATTAGCAAGAGATAATCTTACAAGGACCACGAACAATCGTCATTTAACTATCGACAATCAAGTACATGTAGCACTTCACTGGAGTGTTAACGATATAGACGAAAACCAATTAGTGACTACTACCAATATCTGGAATGATCCTAGTAAAGTAGGTCATTGATTATCTTATTTTGACATTCTTAAAATAAGTTTTCTTTCTAGCCGGAACAAAATCGATCGTACCTGTTCCGCGCACTTCACAAAAATTTAATCGTATTCGTCAGTAATTTCGTGAAACTAGACATTGATATTACTATATTGTTTCGTTCTACTGATTTGCTGCCGAAAGTAGCTGATAATCCTGCATCAGCACAAACTTCCAATACGTATGATTGGTCTCGACAACATCATTATTTAAAAGAATTGTATTCAGAGACAATTCGTAAAAATGTAAGACGAATATATTTTTTGTACTGAACACTTACATTATAGAACATTTGTTTTGTTTCTACAGCGGGATCCGCTATATCTTCTAGATCAGATTGATTCAAACCTTACTTTTGATAAAGAAAAAGATTTATCTGTGATTTTCGAAAAATTAGTTGGTGATTTCATGCAACCACTTTATAAGTATCCTTCAACGTGTCGATTCCATAAGATACAACCAACCCATAATAACGAGGTGGAATCGATAGATGCAGAACATATCTACCGTGATCTCTTTCTTTGGTGCATATTAACATACCGACTTGATATGGCCAAAATTTTTCTAAGTAAGATGAACACTCGTATTTGTTCAGCGTTGATCGCTTCGAAAATTCTCAAGGCATTAGTAATTTACGCACCAGATCAACAGACAATAGAAACATTATATTCCAAGGCGGAAGAGTTCGAAAATTTTGCTATCGAGCTTGTACGTTGTTCTTACATGTATGATAAACAGCGAGCATGTGAATTGATTGTACGGCGTGTAAATCTCTATGGGCGTGTCACATGTCTTCAAATGGCGCTTGCTGCAGATGATAAGAAATTTTTATATGAAGATGCTTGTCAAACTGTGTTAATGAATATTTGGTACGATAAGGTCGATCCTGTGAGAGAGCGACCAGTTCTTGCTGTCAATTTCCTTACATTGGGAATATCGCAGATTTTCATCTCGATCTATGAAAAGTACAATTTGACCTCTGCTAGAATAACATCAGCAACTCAGGTAAGCTACTCAGGGCAGTACAAAAGTAGTGACGGATGTTCAGTAGTTCCTTATAAAAAGTTCTAAGAAACTTTCTTTCTATATAGTCTGATAGAGAAAAGAATGCTCTTTTTGTTTCTATGCTATTTGATCATACTTCAACTAATAACATAATAATAAATTTTCGATAAGATTTGTTTCGCTATGATATGTGTCTGGTTGCACTAATGTCTATCAAGTGAATATTTTTTTGAATAACAGTTGACAGAAATAAAATAGAGAAGTGCAGTTTTCATCATTCGAAGCAAGAGATAAGAATGATTAATTTTCAATCTCTGAAACGTGTACAGTTTTGTAGATCTTCCATCGACGGTTTCAATTCACACCCGACAATCGAGAATTTACTGTAAACATCTCACGACTAGTTTTGTTTTCAAAGACATTGATTGAAAATCTTTAAAAAATTCATAATCAAAAATTCTATATATAATATATGACTCAGTGTATCTTTATCTCTGCTTTCGAGCAATGGAAATTGCGCTTCAATATTTTGTTAGATATCAAAAATTATTCAAAAAATATTCACTAAATAGACACTAGTACAACCAGACACATATCATAGCGAAACAAATCTTATCGAAAATTTATTATTATGTTATTAGTTGAAGTATGATCAAATAGCATGGAAACAAAAAGAGCATTCTTTTCTCTATCAGGCTATATAGAAAGAAAGTTTTTTAAAGCTTTTTATAAGGAACTACCGAACCTCTGCCACTACTTTTGTACTGCTCTAAGTAAAGAAACTTGTAGCACGAACCTTACGCATACAAATATGTACGTTTTTTTTTGTTTTCCATTTATAGACATATACATCAATGCATTCAAAGCGACAGTAGGTATTTATAATAATTAATCAGTGTGATGAACAAAAAATAACTTAGATTGAAAAAAACCGGTATTGATTATACGAATGATTATGGCAAAAATGAAACAGTATTTCGACATTTTCTCCATTTTCACAATCGACCCATAGTCAAATATTTCTATACTTGTGTAAGTCAAAGGCGACATATGATTTGTTTTTTTCCATATTGCCATATAAATCATTGTAGTTTGGCTATGCTCTCTTCCTGCTCTGCTTCAGTTATTATATGCTCTACGCATTTGATCCACTTTCAAACGGAACTCTTAGAATTCATTGGACCGAAATATTAACTATCATTACAGTGACTACTATGCTCGTAGAAGAAGTTCGACAGGTTCGTGTTTCGCATATTCAAGTACAACCACAAAGTGTTCATGCTTTTTGTTGGGTGTAGTTTTTCTTTCAAGATAATAAATCGTTGATAGGCAAGATATATGCTTACTTTGACTTACGTAATCGAGCATCTAATCTGTGTCTGGTTCTACCCGCATATGTTCTCTTCTATATCGGACTTGTGCTTCGTTTTACACGGACAGATCCCGATGATTTTGAATCGGCGAGGTATGCTTCATGGTGGTTTTAAAATGTCATGCGTGTAAGCCATATGATGTTTATAGAATAGTGATGGCTTATGATTTGGAATTGTGGTTTATTCGTTCTGTTCTATTCATTGAAATTGCTTCACAGCTTGGTCCCAAGCTTGCAATGATTCGGAAAATGGTAAATATGTAATACGAGTGTTAATGTGTATTCTACCATTTCGTTTACAGACAAACGACCTCTTGTTATTCGTATTCATCATTGTCGTTTTCATTTTCGGCTATGGAATCACATCAAGAGCTATGATAGCTTATCGGACCTTCGATTTTGATGGTCAGGATTTTTTTCGCAATGTGGTTTATCCAGCTTATTATTTCGTTCTTGGCAGATTCGATGATGAACTTTCGCAGTTAGATGGTAAGGATGTCGTATGAACAAAAAGGATAAATATTTATTTGCGTATATTCATTCTTTTCTTTTTTCAGATAAACCGAATGACAGTGGTAGTATTGCCACTCAAGTTATGTTCGCTTTTCACATGCTTTTTGTCAATATACTTTTGATTAACTTACTAATTGCTTTGTTCAGGTATATAAAAACGCAAAGATCAATTTAAGACAACTATGACTAGAAAATATAATTTAGTTTCACCATAAATGATATACAAGCACAAGCCCGTTATATTTGGGCGTATGCTCGGTGTGACATCATTCGTAATTACTATGCTCGTCCAGCATTATTTCCTCCGTTTACGATTATCATCTCGTTTGCACAACTCTGTCGATGGTGTTGGCTAAAATGTTGTAGAAACCATTCTTTTGATGAAACAGATGATGACGAGTCATCTCAATACTTTGGTAAGTAGTGTCATTTTTAAGCTGATTTAAGAAATCAAAAGATCAAATAAACATATATTAATCTAATTTTGTATGTTTCAGCAATGATACCAATGAATGATGATACCGATCGTATATGGTCAGATTTCGAACGATACTCAACGAATGATTACATTCGAAAATTGCTCGATACACAAACGGATTCAGCTACCAATGCTATGACCGCTGACATTGTGTGAGTTTTGAAACGTCTGTTTCGTCTGATAAGAGGGGTGGGTGTGGGTGTGGGTGTGAGTGTGGCTGTGAGTGTGGGCGCTCCTCTTCTCGTTAACCCAAATCCACACCCACACGTCCACACCCTGCTTGAATTGCAGGTGTTTCTATTCCTAATAGTAACTCGGAATTGTATAGCTGAACTTCCTATAATATATTGAGGATTGTAGCCGTCGAAGCAACAGAATTATCCATGTTGTCGTATAAATGAAAAAAGTTCGTTGATGAAAACTTTATCATATTCATTGTAAATTGCTCTAATTTGACTTTTTTTCATGTAAAAGTTGTCATAAAAAGATATGCGCTGACACATAGCACAAAATTTGCTGCTTCGCACATCAATCATGAAGTACAGGGACATCAGTCGTAGGAGTAAAGTGCAGGGCACGATGCCACCTTCCTTCAGTGGTTCAGATAGTATTCTTTTTCTCAGAATGAACATGGATAGTGATATTAGAAATATGCATGTTGGCACAAAGAATATATTTGAATGGCAGTAGACAGAGCTAAATCGATTTATTATGTAACATTAGTTCTAACTTTCCTATTGTTGAAACTTTTAATAAAATAGAGAAAATTGAAAACACGAGCTACGGATGATATGGAAAGGATCTTTTGTTATATATGTTTATAATATTTTGTGCTGTTGTGCATAGATCTAAATCGTTATCATCTAATACCGATGAATCAAACTGGGTCAAACATGATGTGAATCAATTGAAAGAAGTTCCAACCCACACACATGCTGATATGAGCAACAAATTAACATCGATGGGACAAACAGTCAATGATTTTCAATCACAGTTCAAACAGATGGATAATCGTTTTGACAACATTAGGACGGAAATGAAAGAGGTATGCTTGAGCTATTGTCTTCGTAAAGTAATTTCTGTTTTGAACACCAATATAGGTGAAAGACTTGCTGAATTCGCTGATGGCAGCCATGAATCATGCAAAAATGGGCAATTAACTACTTTCTGACGGTTTTCATTGTTCATCTTATAATGAAGACAGAATGTATTAAAGTTAGATATGAATTATATATCATTGTAGAAGATAACAAGACTAGTCTTTTGAATGAAAAATTTTTTTCTGAACCATTGCACATTAAGCAAACTAATGGCAATGTACTAAGAGGCGCATTCTTTACGGGATACCCAATATAGTGATATAACATTATTATTTGAGAGAATAAATTATACTTCAATATTGGAATAATAAATGTCGCTGTTATAAGGTGTGAGTGGGTGTGGGTGTGGGTGTGGGTGTGGGTGTGGGTGTGGGTGGGTATGGGTGTGGGTGTGGGTGGGTGTGGGTGTGGGTGGGTGTGGGTGTGGCCCAGGCAGACAAAAAAGTGAAAAAACGCGTTTAAACGCGCAGAGAT